TAGGTTCATATGGAAGGAGGCGGTCCTTCAGGTATCCAGGGCTGTAGTGGTTTGGATACTTTTATAGAAGGTCAGGTATTGTAACTTACATTTGTAGCAAAGTTGCCTTTGAATTTAGAAGTACAGTAGGTGAATCTGATTTTAGGGAAATCTGACCTTTCTCTTCAAGCAGGCTGTCCCATAGTAAGAGGGTTTTTTAAAAATTGAGACTGATTATGCTTCTGACCTTTCTCTTCAAGCAGGCTGTCCCTTAGTAAGAGGGTTTTTTTAAAAAATGAGACTGATTATGGTTTTGTTGCTTTTAATGTGTTTTAGTATTGTTTTTATCCACTAGTTTTAATATCATATTCATGTAATTCCTTTTTACATTATGATTTATTGTTTTTAGCTTTTTAGCACATAATATTGTTTCTTTTTTTAATACTACAAGCTGTCTTGGGTCCTTTTCAGGAGAAATATAGGATATAAATATTTTAATTAAATAAAATGTAGATTTAGTCAGTCACTAGAATTTATTTTTTTAAAAAAAAATATTTTGCTCTGCCCTTCTCCTGAAAAAGAAGCCAAGGTGGCTTACATCATTAAGAGATAATATTTAAAGCTAAAAATAAGTATGGAAATATTTAAAAGGATCAAACAAATACCACTCTGAAAAATGGTAAACAAAAACAATACATTCAAAGCAGTAAGGCAGAACTATCCACTTAAAAATCTCGCTCAGGCAGCCAGTCACTGAGGAAAAGCTTGTATGAAGAGAGAGGTCTTGCAGAAGGATAGCAAAGATGGAGCCAGTCTGGCCTCCTGTGGGAGGGAGCTCCAAAGTCTGAGAGCAGTAATAGAGAAGGACCTCTCCTGTGTCCCCATCAGACAGACCTATGAGGGTCTGAGAGAAAGGCTGCTCCTGATGATCTTAACACCCAGCCAGGCTCATAATGGGCATATGGTCTTTGGATAGGTTGGACCCAAGTTGTTTGACAAATGTTTTCACTCCTTGCTGCATCTGATTTCACAAATAGTGGTTTTATTTTAAACCACATTCATAGTAGGGCTAATGTTCCAAATTTCTGCATATATGGTATGTGTGTGTGTGAGAGAGAGTCTGAGTGTTTATTTTGCAGCTACTAAAATTAATTTTTTTTAAAAAATCGTAAAGTAAATGGAATTCATTCCCCCCCCATTTGCCTGTCAGGATCGGTATCTGCTGTTCCAGTTTTTGAAAAGCCTACTTGACCCAAGGTATGTATGCTTATATATTCTGTTTTAATTCTTGAATGTAGAGTGTAAAAGTGTGATTTGTCCATTTTTAAATAAAAATATAAAACTTTTGTACACTTCTAAATATAAAATAAAAAAATTATTTTTTATTTATTTAAATACAAGTATTTGAAATATATTTAATCTCCCTTTCTGAGTTCAATATGGCTTACAAAATTACAGAATATGTGACAATAGAGTTATCAATAAGCACACTCATGCAGCAGCCTTGCGAGTTTTTTAAAGCTTCAGATGCAAAAATTAATAGATTTTTAACAGTGAATAGCCAGAATACATGGAGAAGAAATTTCCACCATTAAAAATCCCTGTCCTTAGTCAATTCTAAAGTCCTCCTCTGGTGGGCTAAAGGGGAGTGCTGACCTTAAGACTTGGGCATGTGTGAACACATACATTGATGCCTCGACTTATGAATGCCCCTACCTACAACATTTTGAAAATTTTGCTTTGACTTGCAAGCGGAGCTTTGACGTAAGAACATAAAAAGGCAGGGGGAAAAGGTGGGAAATTTAAACCATTGGTGGTGAAGAGGCTGGTTCTTTGTAGCTCTTTTGCCCCAATGGTTAGAGTAGAGGATCAGGGAACTTTTTTACTCCTGTGGCGCAGGAGGAGGAAGGAGAGGTGGGGGCGGCTCTGGATTGCTGCAGGGCGCAGGAAGCCGGTGCGCTCCCTGCCCATCCCTGGTGCAGGTCTACTCATGAGTAAGGGTGGCCAAAGGAGTGGGTCTACTAATGAGTAATGGCAGCCCAAAGGCGCTGGGCTGAGCTGAGGCACGCAAATCGGAGGGGCTCCTCCGTGGACAGGCCGTGCAGCCTCGGTGCAGGAGTGAGTGCCATCGGAGGAGGCTTCGGTCTGCCTGGTAAGGTGCTGCTTTTTCCTTTTTAGAAACTTCTGGGTGGGTTTTGCAGGGTGGGTTTCAGCTGAGGGGGGGTTATGTTTCTGTGCTGTGATGTTTGTTTTTTGTTTTGTTTTGTTTTGTTTGCAGCCTTCAGGGCTTGCTCTGTTTATTTTATTTTTTTAAGCCCTAGTGGCTTCCGATGGGGCTTTAGGTGTGCTTTAATTTATT